TGCATGTACACATGTAGCGGTCTAAGACTGATGTTGGGAATCACCCTTGATTGATCTTCCACGTTACTCATTGAGGCAGGGACTTTCAATCAAACACATAGATTGCCAATAAGAGTAATTGTCCTACTTAGCTTTATTTGTCAACTCGACAGAGCCTAGAATCAATTAAAGGACTATCCACATCAAAGCCGGTGAGCATATCTGTGTGGGATTGTCTTGATTATTAACTGATGCAGGAGAGCTTAGCCTACTGTGGATGGCACCTGGTCAGGTAGCCATGGGCTATATAAGGGAGCTAGCTAAGCATGAGCTAAAACAAGCCAGCAATTCTTCCATGGTTTCTGCTTCAAGTTTCTGCTTGAGTTCCTGTCCTGACTTCTCGCAAAGACAGTCTGAGCTAGAAGTGAAAGACAAATAAATCCTTTCCTCTCCTCAATTGCTTTTGATCAGAGTGTTTTATCACAAGAATGAAACTAGAACACTAATTTTGCTAGCCAGCTTTCCTTTCCAAGCTTGGAAACATAGCTAGATCTCCATGCCCACCTGGCATTTATGTGGGTTTCTGGGGATCCAAATTCAGGTCGTCTTGCCTGGATGGCAAGTGTTTAACGGTTGAACTACCTCCTCAGCCCCAGAATTTTGCTTGGATTGCTAACTTGAATTTCATTTTTTAAAGTATTAAATAAAATCTGACTTGGGATTAGAATAGCATTGCTAATAATTGCTGAAGTGGCCCTAAATACACTTGTCTGACATTTTGTACTATATATTTTAGAAGGTGACATTCTCAGCGTTGATTCTTTAAAAATTTAAAAATTAACTCTGAAAAACATTGAAGATGCTTTATTTTCTGCAATATCAGGTATTTAGTACATCCATCTCATTAATATGCAAACTTGCTTTAGTTTTTAATAAATGGTAAATTATATGGACATCAAAGAGTTGCATTAAATATGTTTTTATGACTTATTAGTATATGTTTGGTTTGTATATCAATTTTATGAACCTATGTGTCCTAGTTAGCGTTACTATTGCTGTGATGAAACACCATTATCAAAAGTAAATTGGGGAGGAAAGGATTTCTTTGGCTTACACTTTCACATCATAGTCTACCATCGAAAGAAACCAGGACAGAAACTCAAGCAGGGCAGGAACCTAGAGGCAGAAGCTAATGCAGAGGCCATGGAAGAGTGCTGCTTACTGGCTTGGTCAGCCTGCTTTCTTACAGAATCCAGGACCACCAGCCCAGGGTGGCTCCACCCACAATGGGCTGGACCCTCCCCCATCAATCACTAATTAAGAAAATGCTTTACAGGCTCTCCTATAGACTGATCTTACGGAGGTATTTTCTTTTCTTTTCTTTGTGGAGTCCAGGGGATGTTGAGATAGCGTCTCTCTGCATAGCCTTGGCTGTCCTGGAACTTTTTCTGTAGACCAGCCTGACCTTGAACTCAGAGATCCACCTGCCTCCGCCTCCCAAGTGCAGGGATTAAAGGCGTGTGCCATCACAACCAACCTGAGACATTTTCTCAATTGAGGTTTTCTTCTCTCAGATGTCTATAGCTTGTGTCAAGCTGACATAAAACTAGGCAGCACACTGTATATCTGAGTTCATGTAAAAATTCCTCAAGTGTAAAGGGGATAAAAATGGAAAGGAGGGGGGATTAGAGAGATGGCTCAACAGTTCACATTTGCAGATCTTAGGGAGGAACCAAGTTCAGTTATCTGTACCTACATTGGTCAGCTCACAACTGCCTGTAACTCCAGCTCCAGATGATCCAATGTCCGTTTCTGGCATCTGAGGACACCTGTACTGTCACATATACAGCCCCACCCAGAAAATCACATACATAGAACAAAAAGAGTAAAAATAAATATTTTCATTTTTTTAAAAAATGGAAAATGTTTAAGAAGTCCCACTCTAACTGAACTCATGACCCATATACATGATAATATACTAAGATAGTAACTTAAAGCCACTGAGTTGGGGCTATTTTATGTAGCAGTGATAATAGATACTTAGAACACAAAATTAGGCTCTAACCCTCGTAATATGCATTTCCATTTTTCTTCTTTTCCTTTGTTGGCATCATTATTCTCGATATCCAGACCAGGGGCCTTTCCTTCATACATATGAACTCAATGTGATCACACAGGCTTGGGTTTACATCCTGATTTGTGCCCGCAAGCGATTCTGAGTCTTAATTCCAAACACCATGGATGAGTGATCCAGCTGTCACCACGAATGATCTGTGCCTGCAGCATGCAGGTTGCATGGGTGACATGCAGTGTTTATATATACATTATACATATATATATGTATACGTTATATGTATACATTTATTGTATATTCACAGCCCTTTTTTACTGTTTTAATTTTGCTTATTTATAAAAAGCTCTGTTAAGTTTATTGGAATAGTCAAGACTGTGGCAGATTTGGGTGAAAGCAATATTTTCTGACTCTTGTTTTGTTGTTATTATTGTTTTTGAGGCAGGATCTCATGCGTAGTTCAGGCTAGCCTAGCACTTACTAGTAATCCAGGCTGGCCTTGAACTTCTCCTGCCTCAGCCTCCCAGGACCTGAGATGAACGGTGTGAGCTGCCTCACCTGAATCGTTTTTTTACTCTTGCAGCCCCCGTCCCTCTTTGATCACGTGCTTCTCTTGTCTCCCCCTACATTGTAATTTCCTCTGCTAAACATAAGCTTTAGTTGCTGGGCGGTGGTGGCGCACGCCTTTAATCCCAGCACTCGGGAGGCATAGGCAGGCGGATCTCTGTGAGTTCGAGGCCAGGCTGGACCGACAGCCTCCAAAACAATACAGAGAAACCCTGTCTCGCAAAACCAAAAAAAAAAAAAAAAACCCATAAGCTTTAGTGGTTCGGGATCTAGTGGTCTCATCATCCATTGCACTTTCAGTAACCAGAGCAGGGACCATCCCTAGTGGATATGCAGGCTGTCTATGCAATTTTAGCTGATTGATGACACTTACAAACACTCCTATGAACAAGACCAGAGTCAGGAGGGTTCATCTTTCTAGCCCTGCAATGAGAGCTTGGCAAAGCTGGGACAGTGGCCGATGGAGAGAGATGCATTCCAGTCTGACCTCAGACTATAAACCAGTCAGGTTGACTGCGACCCTGGGATGGCATTTTGGGGTTTGGCGTATTTTCTTCTTTGCTTGCTACGGTTGGACATGTTACAATTTAAAAATAAAATGATTTTTTAAAAACTCATCCAAAATCCTACTTCACTTTCCATTGCTCAACAGCTCGTGATCTCCTGGCTGGCTGTTCCGTCTTCTGGTGGCTGTTGACTGCTCCTCAGAGGGCCAAGGCAGACCGTTGGGCTGGCTGTAGATCAGCCTGTACTGGGCCTTCCTTCATTTCCAAAGCAGGGTCTGCTCAGGGAGCAGACATGAGAACGCTGAGGCAGGGATCCGCCTTCATGAGAGACAGGGACCTTTGGGGGGTGGGAGGTTGTCTCTGTCTTATGGAGGAAATACTGACATCTAAGACATGAAGGCAAAAATATTAAAAGCTACACTTACTGACGTAACATCTTCAATGGCAGAGGATAGGAAATGGTCTAGCTTTTTTTTTTTTTTGAGACAGTGTTTCTCTGTATTGTTTTGGAGCTTGTCCTGGAACTCACTCTTTAGACCAGGCTGGCCTGGAACTCACAGAGATCTGCCTGCCTCTGCCTCCTGAGTGCTGAGATCAAAGGCGTGCACCACGGCCCGGCATTGAGGAACCATTGTTAAATTTCTATTTTTAATTATATTATTTACTGTCTATTTATTTAGTTATTTATTTGTGTGTGTGGGGTGTGTGTGGGGTGTGTGTGTGTGAGCGTACCACAGTCCAATGTGGGGTCAGAGGACAACTTGTGGGAGTTGATTCTCTTCTTCCACCACAGAGGTCGTGGGGATTGAAGTCACGCTGTCAGTATTGATAGCTAACACCTTTCCCAGGCCCCACAGGCCCTGCTGTTAAATTTGTGGATAATGTTGAGGTCATGCTTTAGAGAAATGTTTTAGAGACACAAGGTGAAATAGAGATGGAATGATATCATGTCTAGGGCCTCCTTCAAAGCTATCATGCGGAGGAGGAAGAGGAGGTGATTGGCAGGCGTTGATGGTGGAGCTGATGATAACACATGGGATTCCTTACGTTACTCTAGTTTGTGTATTTGCAGTACTTGGATCCATATTACCCAGAAAAATTGACAACTAGTCATACTGACTTAACAGACAGCAGCCTTAAAAAGATCCAGAAGCAGATTTCTGAAAGTAACAAGAGAGCATTGCTGCAGTTTGGATCAGAATGTCTCCCCAAAAGCCCATGTGTTTGGAAGCATCTTTGATAATGACAGATCTCAGTGGAGAAAAATACCACTTAACACAGGGCCTGTTTGACACCAGAGTTGCCATCATATCCTTCATATTACCATCTAGAAACACAAGGCTCTGGACGATGTTTTAAACATTATGACCCGGAAAAGCAGATCTTCAGGCCCTTGTCTTGTTAGAGACTGCAGCTGAAGCCATGGGAGGCTCAGTCTTGGTCTGACAAAAGAGGCCAGGGACACACTGTCCGAGGAGCTTCATAACACACTTATCACTAAATGAGGGACACCTAGTTCAGCTTCCTAGCTGCTGTCAGGACAAATACAAAGATTTAGATGGGAAATGGGAAGCTGGCAGGTTTTTTGTTTGTTTGTTTCTGTTTGATGCAGGGCTTTATGCAGTGCAGGCCTGCCTCAAACTGGTTATGTAGCCGACATATGTACAACCACAATGAGTTTAATGCAGTGTTAGAAAATGAACTTAGGTCTTCATGCATGGCAGACAATAACTCTTCCAAATGAGCTACACCTCTAGCCCTCTTCTTGTCTTGTTTTGTTTGAGACATAGTCTCACTATGTCATCCAGGCTGCCCTCAAACTCATGATCTCCTACCCTCTAGAGATATTTTTAAAATAAAATGTGTACAAAGCAATATTACCAGCAGATTGATGTGTATTCGGACACTGAAATTCCTCTCAACCAATCTAGTTTTAAATTTTAATTGGAGTATTTTTCCCTCATTCCACCCAGTTCTCTGTGCTAGAGAGAGATTTCCTGCTTCGTTCATCCGAAAGACACCACCTCTTGGTTCTTCAGCAGCAACAGCAGCAGCAGCAGCAGAAGAAGAAAGCCATGCAATGAAAGACAATTTGAGTATTCTAAACATTCCATGGCCAGATGCCATCCTTACCAGTCTCCCATGGGACCAGCCCATACTGAAACTAGCAGAGCAATCTTAAACATCACCTCTCTCACTCTCCTTCAACCTGAGCAGACGGGAACTATTCCTTCCAAGAAGGAACTCTCCAGCTCAGGGAGAAATCTGATGGCAGAGAAGAGAAGCAGACTCTATGTCCACAGCCAAGTGAAGAAACTCTGGCAGAATCCATGATTTAATGTTGACTCCTTGGTTTAGAAGAATCCACTTGGGGTGACCAGGCCCCTGATGGGAAGGCCCACAGGGGCATTAGACCATTAACAGAGCTAGAACACACTCAGAACAGGCTTGGCAACTCAATGCAGAACCGTCAGCCATTGTCTCAGGCATGCACCATGAGATCTCCCCCACCTCAGTTCATTCAAACTCACATATACTACAGTGAGGCTTAAAGCAGAAAAAAAAGTGATGGTGGTAAAGCATTTGTATTCTGGCTTCCTTTCTGTGCCAGCCCATGGAACAGAGCACAGCACATTGCTCTAGAAGCTTGGGTGAACAGGCAGAGTGGGTGGGAACATGACAGGAAAAACGACCATCACAGCTCTTGCCTTCAGTTGTGTCCTTGGGGAAGAGAAATCAGCCCAGATTCCAAACCTTAGTCTCCCGACTGCCATGGCATCCTTAGAAGGCATAGCGAGACACAAAGATGGTGATCTTAGACACGTGGTTGGCCTGGAAGGAGCGTTCCAGGTATTCGGACATGTCAACGTCTACCTCCAGAGTCCGAGGCCCCTCCAGGGTCTGTATCAGGATGAGCTCCCCTGTCTGCCGGTCTGAGCGCTGCATCACGAAGTGGCCACTGCTGTTCCCACCCACAATTCCAAAACGCAGGCTGTTGGGCCCAGGATGGCCAGGAACCGAGGCTGTGGCCATGCGGAAGAGCGTGATGGGCGTCTTCAGGTTGGAAGGTAGAGAGAGGTAATGGAAGGAGATGGTCTTGGGCAGGTGTCGACATTGCCTGCTATCCATGGGACAGGGGTTTCGCTCACACTGGCTGGAACAGGGGTAAAATGGAGACAGTTAGACTTGGGAAAACTCAAGAGAGGCTGCCCCACCCACCCTCCTGAAGAGGCCACACTCCCGTAGACTCCAGTATCTCTCTGGAAGAACAAAACGTCTGTGCTTCATGTGAGCTGGTAATTATAGGGGAAATGGAAGCTCAGAGAAGCTTCTCTGTCTTTCACATTTCCTGGGCACGATGACATTATATCCCTCCCCATGAACTGCATGCCCAGCCGTGGGCAGCCCTGGATCTACTCACAAGGGCGAGGTCTTCACATAGCTGACGTTGCCACTGCCCTCGGGGCACTCAGGACTGACACACTGGAAACCTCCTCCAGTGTTGATGCATGTGGTCCCTTGGGGGCACATGTGCTGTGGGCCCACACACTCATCCACATCTGTTTATCGGGAGACACAAGGAAGGCTGTGACTCTTCCTGCCTTTCCTATATCATACAGTCACTTGGAACCCAGTAGGTGATGAAATGGGAGACTCCACAAGGGGTGAATTTACCAGATATCCAACAAATACTCTGTGTCAGGGGCAGTACACATGCATGTGAATGTGCATGTGTGTGGAGACCAGAGGTTGACAATGTGGGTATTTTCCTCAATCGCTTCTTCGCATTGTTTTTTGAAACAGGGTCTCTCGCTGAACCGGGAGCTCACTGATTCTGCTAGGCTGGCTGGCTAGTGAGTGCCAGGGATCCATCCTCTTAGAGCAAGAACTTTGTCAGGTATTCTGTTTTCTCTCAACATCTGGAATCGGGGTCCGTCAGAAATACTCTAGGACTGTGGTAGTGAACCCCCTCCCTGGGATGCTGTCTTCTTTTCCTGGGGTGTGACAAGTGACAGGGGTTCCTGCCAACACCAAATGAGTGTTACCAGTCATCTGCCTCCTTCTCAAGTGCTTTTGAGTCTCCTTACTGCCCATGTTTGTCCTCACACTCAGACTCAAACATAAAGGAATGCCTGCCCCCTTAACCACATCCCATACTGAAACTGTGCCCTTTACAAACATGCAGTGAATTCACCCACCTGGAGGTAGTCCCTTCCCAAGCCCAAGTAATCCTATGTGGGCTCATTTGAGCGCTATGAGATGGATGATGGAGTGAATGGTGGATAATAGATGATGAACGGGTGGGTGGTGAATGGGTGGGTGGTGAATGGGTGGGCAGATGAACGGGTGGGTGGTGAATGGGTGGGCAGATGAACAGGTGAACGGGTGAATGGGTGGGCAGATGAGCAGGTGGTGAATGGGTGGGCAGATGAATGGGTGGGTGGATGAACAGGTGGGTGGTGAATGGGTGGGTGGATGAACAGGTGGGTGGTGAATGGGTGGGTGGTGAATGGGTGGGCAGATGAACGGGTTGGTGAACGGATGAATGGGTGGGCAGATGAACGGGTTGGTGAACGGATGAATGGGTGGGTGGATGAGTGGAAGTGTAGATGGGTGGATGTGAGAATGTCTATCTGGATCTCCTATTCTAGTCCCCAGCTGCCCACTCCTCTGAGAATTACACTGGAGTCTAACAAGATGTCAGCAGAGAGTCACTTCTCCCTTCATATTCCAAGTCAGCTTGTGACTTAGCCCCCTGTCCTTTGTCTGCCTTCTCCCCCAGTAGTTCAAAGCCATTTTCTAAAGTCTGCTGGGGTCCCTTTAGTGTTCTTAGTTCATGGAGGAGTCAGGCCTGGACTTCCTCCCAATGTGAGGCTGGAACAGCTGCATTCTCCCCAGAAGTCCCCTGCAACCCAAGTTCCAAGGCCTAGAATCAAGCTGAGCAAGAGGAGACTCTACTTTACCTAACTTATTCAGGGTTTGACTTACCTGTGGCCAACTATAGTTTGAAAATATTAAATAAAAATTTCTAGAAACAAGCAGTTCATTAATTTTAATAAGTTTTATTATAGTATATTATAGTCATTTATCTTGCCATTAGCTGTTGTTAATATTTGCTCTGCCTAATTTATAAGTTAAACTTCACATTAGGTATATACTATAGGACAGAAACATTGTACAGGTAGGGGTTGATACTATTCAATTGAATTTGGGTATTGACCCATGGATGGGGGAGGGGCTACTGTATTCTGATTGTGCTACTACGGAGAACTGATGTGTCTACGTCTTTATGGGAGGCGTGATATTGGTGTGCCTAGGCTCCACTAGGTTCGTCTGGTGTCCATGACGGTGAGAACAGCTTTCAGTCTCTCCTTTCTTCCCCCCACTCCCGCTTTACCTGCAGACATTCCTTGCTGATGATGGTGCTTATTTGCACCATGTCTGGAAACAGAAACCTCAACCCTTCGTCCAGGGGGTCACAATGGATGGGTGGCACTTAGGGAGAACCTGAGTCTGGTGTTTTGTGTTTACAGCCCACCCTCCAGGCTATTCTCTGTTCCTGGCAGACTGACTGGCCTGGCCTGTCTGCCTAGGCTCCCAGACCTTCGGGCCTCCAGGCCCTCTAGTTTTCGGGCCTTCTGGTGTTTAGTGGAGTTTGGTAAATGGACGCCTGAGCAGCTATGGTCTCTGTTTTTAGTCTAGGCTAAGTTCTGGTGGCAGATTCATGCTTCCAGCCACAATTGTCATCAGGCTCTTATGAACCCTGTCCCTCACTCTTGCCTGTCACTGGTGGCTCTGCCTCCTCCCTGTTGTCCTCAGCTAGCCACCACACATGGCCAGAGCTGTGGAGCCTGGCCACGCTGAGGTACAGCTCCTGTAGTCAGAGGATACTAATAGGTGAATACGCAGGGCCACAATGCCTCCAAGGTCCCTTCAGATTCCAGATGAGTGGACTCTGGCTGGCTCTTTGGTCTTTGGGTTCCAGTCTGGCTGACACAGTGCTGAATAAGAGGAAGTGACCTTACCTAGAAATGTCGCTCACATGGGGTCAGAAGAGGCTGGATGGCTAAACAGTTAGTTTGTGTAGAATATATAACCTGATCTTTGGGAGTTCTTTTTATTGATTTCTCTTCCAAGATTGACTGTGCACCCAGATCGGTGGCTCTCTTAGCCTAATCACCCTGAGTGGGGATGGGGATGAGAGCAGGGGTCACAGCAGCAGCAGGCGGCCAAGTGTAGAGGGTGACCTCTCGCCTCGTGGTCGCCTGCCTCTGTTATAGTCTCACTCACCCTCGCAGCTTTTCCCGTCAGCCATGATGCGGTATCCGCTGGGGCAGGTACAGCGGTAGGAGCCGGGGGTGTTCACGCAGGCATGCATGCAGAGCCAGGGGCGTCCTTCCTGCCCGTAGATCTTACACTCATTCACATCTGGGGACAAAAAGTGCTCTTGGTTCCAGGAGGCTATGCAGTCTCCATCAAGTAGACTCTGGCAGCTGTGACTAAATAGCTGGATAAAGTGGCAAGCTACCCTGCCGAAGAGCACCTGGGATGGCCCCAGGACCAAGAAGGCTGAAGGGAGGAGTGGAATGATGTGAGCCACACTAGCCGGGTTCCTCGGTCTAACTCAGGAAACTATACAAAGCCTAGCAAGTCAGGTACCCCACTTGGAGAAGCAGCTTCAGACACCCATCTTAGCCCTCGTCATCTTCAGCAAAGGACACATGGAGTAAGACAGCCTGTGTGGTGGGGCGGGCCTGTACTCTCAGCATTTGGGAGGCAGAAGCACGGAACTTCATCTGAGGCCAGTATATTGGGCTGTATATTGAGACGCCTCTTTAGGAGGGGGTGGGGAGTAATTTTATTTCTGATGCCGTGAAATGAACCTCTTAGCATTAACTGGCCAGACCTCAGGGTGGAACTGCTGTTTAGTTGTGGTTATCAAAAGTGGGCTCTAGAGTCAGCTAAACTGAGGAGGTGACTAGAGAATGCGTCTCAGTTTGTGTAACTCCCTTGTCACGCCCCCAGAGGCGGGGAAGAGGTTGCGGACACGTGGAGGCAAAGGGTTCCTCTTTGGCTCAGTAGTTCCAGGCTATCACCCTGGACTGCTTTCTTCCCCTCCCCCCATGCTACAGAAGATGGCCTTGGACTTCTGATTCTCCTGCCTCTGTATCCCAAGCATGTCACTTCACATTTAAGCGGTGATGAAATTGCAAGAAGGGCCTTGTGCACGCTATGCAAGCACTCTAGAGACTGAATGCAAATCCCTTGCAGTCCACCTGCTGTCTGTACGATCTCAGAGAAGGCCCTGGTGCACCCTCCTGCAGCCCAGCTGTGGGAAGGTAAAAAGGAGACCAAAATGGGTGAAAAGGAGAACCAAGATGGGTGCGCAGCCACTTCTTTCTTCAGAATCCCGCCCCGCCCTCCAAGTCTTCCGGTTAATTTCATTCATCCTGGCAGCCCTCACCTAAAGGCAAATCACAGGTATCTCTGAGACCACGCCCAGGAAGACACACTTCCCAACCCTGCACTCCGCCCCAGGGAGGCAGATGGCACCCTTTGTTCCTGGGCTCCCATTCTCGCGTCTCCTCTGCGGAGCCCGAGCCTACCCTGGCAGACGCTGTTGCCGCCCGCTGTGCTGCTCAGGTGGAATCCCGCCTCGCAACTGCAATGTTGTTCCCGCTCCATCTGCGCGCAACGCGGCGCGCGGCTGAAGGCGGGGTCGCCGACCACTCCGCCCTCGGGGACCGCTGCGAGAAGAAGACACGCTCAGCACCTGACCCTCCGGGAACCCCCACCCCGGCACTTGCAGTGCGCCCCAGAACGGGCAAGACCCTATCTCTCAGTGCGTACTCTACAGCAGGCAAGGAGTGACAAGCGGTTAACCTAAATTGAGAGACTGCGAGCCGGACAGGACCCGAGAGAGAGCGGAATATAATAGCGGACAGCCAGGCATACTGCAGTGTGAAGTTCGAGATTCATTCTGAGAATCTTGGACAATGTGAACAATGCAGTGGGCACTACAATTTAAAAATTTGAGCCTCCACTTTTTCTGTTCCGTGTGTGTGTGTGTGTGTGTGTGTGCATGTGTACACAATCTTGCAGTCTCGTCAATGTGTTCAGGGTAGTTGTTTTATTATTACAGTTTTTCCGTCTTTCGAAGAACAAAAAGTAGTTTTCTAACCACAATAAAAGTAAAGTAAACAGAATAAACAAAATCAAGGTCTCACTATGTAGTTCTGGCTGGCTTTGGAACTCAACTGTGTAGACCACACTGGCCTCTGCCTCCTGAGTGCTGGGATGGAAGGATACTTTAAAAAGATTTTATTTTATGTTAAAGTGTCTGTGTGTATATGTGTACAATCTGTGGTGCCCGATGCCCATGGAGGCCAGAAAAGCGTTTCTTGATCTGTCTGGAACTGGAGAGTGAAAGGTGGCTGTGGGGCACCATGTGCATGCTGGGAACCCCAGCTCCTAACCTCGTAAAGGGATTTTTGTTTGTTTTTGTTTTTCAGGACAGCGTTTCTCTGTGAAACAGTCCTGGAACTCACTTTGTAGACCAGTCTGGTCTTGAACTCACAAAGATCTGCCTGCCTTTGCCTCCCGAGTGCTGGGTTTAAAGGTATGGCCACTACCACCCCGCTAGAAAGTGGATTAAAAAAAAACAATTCTTGAAATTATTCTCAAGACACCTCTCAGTTTCAGAATGGTGTGAAACCCCTCACCATAGATTCCTTATCAGGAGGTTTTCTTGCCATGTGCTGTAACTCAGTAATTAGATGTCTGGTTATTCATATCTTAAAATTCCTTGGTCTGCTGATTTTGCAGGATGTGATATCGGAAGGAAAAGTAATTCTGTTAGAGGACGAAACACTAACCAGGCAAAGAGGATGAAATTCTAACCAGGCAAAGGTGTCCCAGGGTGTCTTCCCAGGCCGTCCCTAATCTAATGCTGTTAGTTTGGAGCCTGTCTCTCTAAAAGGAGGATCAAAACTCTGGCTATAAAAAACAGCTAAGCCCACCCCAGTGAATACTGTAGGGTACTAGCAGGATCAGACAGTGGATGGGAACCACAGAGTTCTTGACACATCGGCCTTTGGTGATGGTGACCAGCATCCATGCCAGCCCCCAGGGTAGCATCCCCAGCAAGTCTTCTGGCTACATACCAGGCTGGGTCTGATTCTGACAACGGTTCCCAGTTTTTCCTGGAGGGCAGATGCATCTGTACTGGTTGACTCCTTCCACACATGTTCCCCCATTGTGACAAGGCTGGCTGGAGCATTCACTGATGTCTAGGAAAGGATGTCAGCACAAGGTTATGTGGATTCTAGTGCCAAATCAAGCAAAAACTAACAATGGCTTTTCCCTTACATTGCAGGACCACTCCAGCTTCCTGTCTGGCTTGGTTCTGGTTTGTGATCCTCCTGCCTCAGCCTCCTGGGGACAGACATGTATCACTGCACCCTCCCCCAGCTTTCTACCCTCCTACCTTGTCCTTGCATTCTCTCTACCTGTGGGAGCTGCAAGGCAACTGGTGAGCTGAAGTGAAGGTCATTTCTTCTGCAGCATCTGCCTCACGCTGTGCCCACGTGGGGTTCTGTGTGCAGGATGTGGCAGAGCACCGCCCATGCTCGAGGGTGTAGTGTACACAGCTGTAGCCAGGGGTTGGCATCTGCTTGTGAGTGAGGCCCTTCTACTCTTCAACTCTTCTCCAAGGTAGATCCCAGGCCTTGAACTTCCTTTCTTTGTGGCCAAGGATGAAAATGAAGCTAAGGTCTTCCTGCTTCTGCATCCTGGGTGCTAGGATTAACAGGTGTCTGTCACTATGCCCATTTTATTCCATGCTGTGCAGGGAACCTAGGGCCTCATGCATGCTAGCCTTATTCTACTGACTGAGCCACATCTCCACCCCTGCATCATCTTCCAAACAGGAGATAAATTCCAAGAAATTAAAAAGGCGTTTCTGTGTGTCTCCCAGGAGGAAGAAGCAGGGGCTCATCCGGTGAGAACTGTCACCTCATTCTGGGTCAATTGGAAGGGACCTTGGCTTCTCTTAAAACTTGGGCTGTCCAAACACTGTTTATCCACAGGGAAGACATTATTTCCATTTCCCTGTAATCTCAGGCTGGTGACAACTGCCCCAGTCAGCCTGTTTTCAGATGATTCGTTTCCAGGAATGTGCCTGAGACCGCATCACACACAAATGTGCCCCCCACTCCCCATTAGTATTCCAAGGTCTCTCAAGGTCCAACCCTATCTTTGCTTACTGGCCCCTCTGAAAGTGGACAGATCAATAAACCATGAAGGTATGGGGAGGAAGCCAGAAAGCGTGAGTGTGTTTATATCCCTCAGCTTGGTGTCAACACACCCCCAGCCATTATCGGTCCTTGGGGAGACTCCAGTAGAAGACACCCAGCTGCCCTTGCGCCTGAACCCATCAGGAGGGGCTAGGTTGACGTCAGCTTGATAGAGACATGAATAGGTGTCCCAGCATATTCATTTCCTTACAGGCTCCAGACAGACGTTCTGCATTTCTTATCTTGATGAGCAGTCAGAGGTATTCAATGGCCTGATGCCCAGACTGGCAAATGCTATGTCCCAATTGAAGGACAGCTGTCATCACATGCAAGTGTGTCGCAGGCCGTGGCATTTAGGTATGGCTTTAGAACGGTGAGGAGGGCGATGGCAGTGATGGTAAGAAAGGCTAGCAAGTCAAGGCCTGGGCACAATCCTTCTCCATCTCCTGTTTCATGAATACTTATTCTTCAATGAAAGTGAATTGTCATGGGGGCTGGAGAGATGGCTCAGAGGTTAAGAGCACTGACTGCTCTTCCAGAGGTCCTGAGTTCAATTCCCAGCAACCACATGGTGGCTCACAACCATCTACAGTTCAATCTGGTGCCCTCTTCTGGTGTGTAGACAGAACACTGTATATGCAATAAATATAAATAAATCTTTAAAAAAAAAAAAGAAAGTGAATTGTCATATGTATACTCTAACTTATTCTCTTTTCAAAAATGCTTATGTCTGCAAGTATACATGTATGTGAGACAGGGTCTCAAGTAGCAGAGGCTGCCCTTGAACTTGATATGTATCTGAGGATGACCTTGATCTTTGATTTCCTGTCTTCTCATCTTGAGTTCTAGGATTATAGGCATGAACCATCATGCCTGATTTGTGTGGTGCTGGGCATTGAACTCAGAGCCTCATGCACATTAGGTAAGCATGCTACCATGTAAGCTACATTCTCATCCCCTCCCCCTGACTTTGTTTTTCTTTTTCATTCTAACTTTGTTCCTGGGTTCTGCATTTTATTTCAAATTTCCCATTATGCCAATGACTTTATTTCTAAGGTTTCCTCATTTTTAAAAAATTTATCTTTTCCATTTCATTATTCTAACTTATTTTTGGAGGGGGAGAACACATGAATGTCATGAGTGAAGAGGTTAGAGAAGAACTTCCAGGAGTCCATTCTTTCCATCTACCCTGTGGGCTCCAGGGATTGAATTCAGGTCATCAGGCTTGGAGGCAAGAGCCTTTCCCTACTGAGCCATCTCTCAAGCCTAGATTTTGTTTTTGTAGTCTTTATATTTTAGAAACTTCTATTGGCTTGTTTTGAAATGTTGGCTTATGCTTTACTTTGGTTTTAAGGATATGTCTTTCTGGCAATTCTTTGTTGTCCATGGAAACTTTGTTCTCTCTTTTTTAAAGTTTTTATTTTTGTATACCAGCTTGCATGGGATTTAACAGGAATCCTTCCCACCCTCCTCATACTTAGATGAAGTAAGTTTTCCTATGTACCTTTAGCACCTTCATGCCTCCAAAATTTCCTTTCCTGTTATTTTTCCATCATGACCAAAAGCAGAACCTCCTATCTCCTCAGCTCTGTCTTGATGGCATTCAATTTATTTTTAGATTTATTCTATTATCTTATGTGTTAGAATGCTTTGCCTGTGTGTGTGTGTGTGTGTGTGTGCGTGTGTGTTTGTGTGTGCATCCCATGCCTGCAGTTCCCAAGGAAGCCAAAAGAGGGCAAAAGATTCCCCAGATGACTGTAAACTGTCATGTATATTCTGGGGATCAAACTCAGAGCCTCTGCAAGAGTAGCAAGTGCTTATAACTACTGAGTCAACTCTCTAACCCTCTTAATGGCATTTTTATGTGAACAACCATATCTTATTTGCACTTGTTTTCTTTGTGTTCAACTTGGGTTCTCCCCAACATTTTGGCTGGAAACTTTTGGGGACTCTTGTTCAGATTCCCTCTGGAACTAAGGCTTTCTATTTCAAGTGTCCTGGCTGGAGGTGTAGCCTAGTTGGCAGACTGCTTGTCTAGCATGCATCAGGATCTGGGCTTGGTCCTCAGCATAAAACTGTAATCAGATGCATAGGATTAAAGAGAATCAAGGGAACTAAAGGTGAGATGGGAAAGTTTACATCCGACCAAGCTGACCTCTAACAGATTGCCTCCAAAATGTGTGAGCTCCGAGAGCTGACCCTGAATTTTTCTTGAAGAATCAACTGAAGAATCTCAGAAGGAGGACGCAAGCGACACTTCCCAATACATAAGAGATGGGACAACCAGTGAGAAATATGGAAGTGATCTGGGCTCCAATTCAAACACAGTGTTAAAAACACGTAAGACAATAGGGAGAATTGCATTTTAACTAGAAATTTTATGACGCTAAGGAGTTTATCTTGTGAAAATTACTGGAGTTTTTGGTTTGTATGATCTTCCTTCTGTACTTTTATGTGTTGAACTTTTTCTTTTTTAAAAAATGTTTTTTATTATATGTCTAGGATTGGTTTGCCTGCATGTATGTGTGAGCAACACATGTGCACAGTGGCTGGTTCCCCTGAAACTGGAATCACAGGTGGTTATGAGTGTGTGTGCTGGGAACTGAACCCAGGTCCTCTGTAGGAGCAGCTGGTGCTCTCAACCTCTGAGCCATCTCTCCCTCACTGAAGTGTCGCTTGGGTCCTCCTTCTGAGATTCTTCTGGGATTAAAGGTGTGTGCCACCACCACCTGGCTGAATATGTTTCTTAATGAAAAGGAAAAATGTTTAAACTAATTGGCATTTTTGAGACTATGAAAACAGGAAAAAGATCACCTAGTAAAGTATTGAGGCCCCTGTGGGGAAGTGCTTCATTCTGGTGGCAAATGACAAAGGGGTTTACTTCTCTCAAGCTTTTCCTTTGGTTGATCAAATGAATGCCTATGACTTCCCCATTCAGAAAGCCTCACACCCTAAAAAATATGCCCTGGGCTGGGTGCTAATGCTCAGCTGATGGAATGCTTGCCAACATGTATAAAGTTTTGCATTTAAATCTAGCACCACAAAAACTCAGTGTAATTGCAGCAGCACTCAGGAGTTAGATGCCAGAGAGTCAGAAGATCAAGGTCATCCTTGGCTACATACTGAGTTCAAGGCCAGCCTGGGTTACATGAGGCTCTGTCTCAAAAGGAGCAAGAACAACAGCAACAACAAAAATGCCCTTCACCGAGAGAAAGAAAAAGAAGCCTGGGAGCCAAATGGCTGCTTTCCACTGTGGGCTTCCAGGGCTCCTCTGCCCACTGTGTCTTTAATGGTGTCATTATGTGTCGTTTCCTTCTATGCCAAGTAGGGTTCATCACCCTCTTCCCAGTCAGTAGACTGCAGAGTGGGCACTGGCCAGTTATTAAAGCACTGCCAAGTGTTTCACTGGCACTGACATTTTATGTCTACAAGTGAAGGGCTGTAATTAAGATTTTGTCCCCCGTGGTCACAACACGCAGTGACAGAACTGCTGATGTAGAAATTGAACTGGGCACACTCAGCAGCTGCTGGTCACCAGATTGCTGAGCTCCAGCAGAATGGAACTGTCTTGGCAGGAGAGGAGGTGTTCTGAAGACATTTGGGATGGCCACTCCCACCCGTTGGCTCTCATAGTCTAAGACAAAGGACAGCAAGCATTGGAATTTTTCTAGGAATCTCATCCTGGGGGAAGGAAAGGGCTAAAGCATGGTGCTAGCCAGAGGAGGAGCTTGTCTCCCAGGAAGAGATCGCATACAGTTCTTTGTTGTTCGTGTGTGTGTGTGTGTGTGTGTGTGTGTGTTATACATGTGTACATGTTAATGTATGTGCATGGGGGCAGGGGTGGGTGTTGCATGCCAAAATGGGGACCGTGGGTCAACACTGTCTTTACTGCTGTCCATGTTTAGTTTATTTTATATGAATGTGTGTTTTGTCTCCATGTGCATCTCATGTGCCTGGTACCCACAGAAGCCAGAAGAGAGCACTAGATCCCCTAGAACTGGAGTTATAAACAGTTGTGAGTGAGCCGTCATGTGGGTGCTTGGAATTAAACCTAGATCTTCTAGAAGAGCAGCAAGTGCTCCTAAACAGTAAGTCATCTTTCCAGTGCCTCCATCTCAGTTTTTGAGAACTCAGAGCTCATCAGTTTGGCCAGACTACCTGGCCAACAGGCTCTGGTGACCTGCCTGTCCCTCTGCCTCCGATGCTGAGGTTACAGGCATACACCATCACACCCTGCTTTTATGTGGGTGCTGGGGCCTAAGCCCAGGCCTTTCTGTTTGTTTTCCACTACTACTTGTCTGTTTGATTGGCCTGTCGAGGATGGGTGGCCAAGTGTAGTTAAGGTTGCTGGGGCCGAGGCTTCTCTGACCCTAACAACTCCAGCAACATCAATCACATAATCAAGATTGTCACAGTTCCCTGAGAAGATCCAAAAGCAGCTATCTGGCATCGCTGTGAGCCTCTGGCTGAAGACAGCATCCGTGAGTGCCAATGCTGGCACAGCGAGCCAACTTGGGGGAGGCTGAGCCTAGCAGCTTGTTGATCCAGTTAATTGTAACATACAAATATTTTGTTCCATCAGTACAGGGTAAACGTCCAGGCCCAGTTTATACTTAGTGAGATGAAAAGTATCCAAGATTCCATTTTGAAAAACAAAGGAATCTAATCACTTTATTCTAACCAGCTCACAAGTCAAGCATCACATAGCTAGCTTAAGGCAGCCACTCAAACACTGCCCCAATCCCGAGTCTATCCATCTCAGTGAACTTCTACACAGTAAGGTTGGTCACTCTGAAACTGTAGAGCTTCTCTTGGGCTTTTTCACTATCAATTACTTTAATTAATTAATTAATTAATTAATTAAATGGTACTTCAATAACAAGAAATTTGAATTCACTTATCCACCATAAATATATGTCTATAGGACAGAACTGAAATCAGGGACTAAAAATGCCATAGGGTCTTTATGGCTCGTGTGTCTTTGACTCCATTCTGTGTGTCCTTCTTTATCACCTAATATTTTGGGGGAAATCTGGAAAATATTCATTTGTGTTATGTGTATGTATGTGCCTGAGTATGTGTCCATGGACCACGTGTGTGCAGCATCCATAGACGCCAGAAAAGGGTGTCAAATCCTGCAAATGTTCACTTATTTCAAGAACTTGGAATCCTCTAATTTACCTAGACAGGCTGGCCAGCGGGCTCTGGTAGCCCCCTGTACCTTCTTTCCCCATCAGTGGTTACTGGCACACAGCTCTGCACATGACTTTTATGTGGGTGCTGGGGATCCAAACTCAGGAGCTGGAGGGTGCTGAGAACAAATCCAGGTTCTCTGCAAGAGCAGTAAGTAAGAGCTCTTAACTGCTGGGCTTTCCCTCCAGCCTCCTGGAAAAAGTTAACATTTATTTTGTGTGTATGTGTTTGTGTGTGTGAATGTATGTGTACATACATGTGTATATGTATTGTGTGCATGTTTATGTGTGTGTGCATGTGTGTGGGGTGTGTGTGTATTCCTGCATGTTTATGTGGGTGTGTATGTATGTATGTATGTATGTATGTATGTATGTATGTATGTATGGGTGTGTGCATGCCCCAGTATGCTTGTAGAGGTCAGAGGACAGCTCTTTTAGGAGTTGGCTCTCTCTCCCTACTATGTAGGTCCTAGGGATTGAACTCAGGTCGCCTGCCAAGAGTGCTGACTCCCATCACAGATACACAGATACTCAGTCCAGGGACAAGGTGAGGAAAGAAGATCATGTCAGCCCTGTCATGGTGGCCAGGGTGGACTACAAACAGACAGGTGTCCAAGACAGGGCAAGAGACAGACAGATGTGAGGGAACACAAGCAGATCAGGCCACAGGTGACCAAGTGAATGGGACCTAAGGTGCTGAATAGACACAGAAAGAATCCACCAGGGGTCTACAACTCAGCCTAGAAGTTAAAACCACAGATGCCCAGAGCAATGAAAAGCAAATGCCTTATACCTAGGATGGCATTTTTATCATTCATGAGGTGTTTAATTGGATGGAATTCTTTCAGAGTCAGGGTGAATAGCAGGATCTGGCATTTCCCCAGGTGTGTTTGCATGGCTCATGATTTATTATCTGCATAGTTGCCAGGGAGGTCTGAGAGCTGGAACCTGTAATCAACCGTTGAGCCGCTATGCCTTCCAGGAGACAGGAAAGGGCTGCTGTGTGTCTCAGCTCCTCCTGTGGGTCCCCATTCCCCTTGGGAGTACTGTGTTTATGAGATCTCTCTGTTTTCAAGATTTCTAAGTATTCAGGGCTATCGATTGCAACAGAGTGGCAGAGCTCTTGTCTAGCATGGATGAGGCCCTATCTCAAATCAACACGCTCCCCGCACAATGCTCTTGCACTTGTTTAAGATTTATGCTACTTTTAATCCTAACTAAAATCATGGCCTTGCATCAAAAGGCCTTCCATAGATGCCTAAAAATAAATGACTGATAGCTATGAATTTGTTTTTAAACTGTGGTCTATAGGCTTTTGAAAAGCCAATAAATTACATGTGCCAAGCTTTGCTTTTCTCTATTGTCAAAACAGTTCTGTTCTTAAGCCCAGCATAGAACCTCAGCAAGGACTCTCTCCAAGCTGTCCACACCAGGTCTCAGGCTAGACCTAAGTGACAATCGAGGGATCTCCTCTTCCCCAGACTATACGAGGAGCCCCACAAGCAGACTGCTGCTTCAGGGCAGCTCAGCTGTCGCCCTTCTGGTTCTCCTCTTAGTCTTGGTAGACTCAAGCCCTGACATTGATATGATCAAATTGCTTTTGTTAGTGTTGTCTTGGTTTAGTTTAATTTTAGTTTTTGAAGCAGGGTCTCCTTCTGTAGCCTAGGCTAATCTCAGACTCTGTAGCCCAAGTTAATCTCAGACTCCGGGCAGCCCATTTGCCTCAACCTTTTAAGAGCTGTGATTATAGTTGGAGGCACTATACCCAGCTAAGAGCCAATCTTTTAAAAAAATTTTTGAGACATGATTTCTTTGTGTAGCCCTGGCTGTTCTGGAACTAGCTCTGTAGACCAGACTAGCCTCAAATTCAGAGATCTGCCTGTCTCTGTCTCTGAAATTCTGGGATTGAAGGTGTGTAGCCAGGCAGTGGCAACCAGCTGTGAGCATAACATTTGGAAGGTAGAAGGTAGAGGCAGGAATATCAAGACTCCAAGGCCATCCCTAGCTGTAGAGTGAGTTTAAGGCCTGCCTGGGCTATATAAGACCCTATCTAGAACAAACACACATGTCCAGTCACCAGAGTCCCGAACAGGGTGAGCTGTTGAGAAGTAGACAGTGGCTTTGTGTAAGTTCCTTACCCAATCTGCACCTCAGACTCTCTATAGGCAAACCAAGACCAGATGGCCGTGGGGACTCATGGGAATAACTCAGACCTGGCATAGGGGTGAAGAAGCAGGCGTGTTCCCGTTTCTCTGCTGAGGAATGACTGAAGAACCAAGGGGAGATGGCTGAATGGGTGAAATGTTTGCTACTTAAGTGTGAAAACCTGAGTTTGGACCTCCAGAATCTGCCCACAGACTTTGGTAGCAGGCTCCTGGAACCCTAGCACTCCTACCATGAGATGGGAAGCAGGGATAGGGTAATCCCTGCAAGTTTGCTGGCATACACAGTCATCCTGGCATACACAGAACTGAGGGCAAGGATTGACACCTAGTAGGGCTATCCTTGACCACTGTGGCATCATTCTCTCTCTCTCTCTCTCTCATCTCTCTCTCTCTCTCCTTTCTCTCTCTCCCCTCTCTCTCTCTCTCTCTCTCTCTCTCTCTCTCTCTCTCTCTCTCTCTCTCCCACACACACATGCACACACACACACACACACACACACACACGAGGAAAGAAGGGAGGGAATCAGATGTGTCTCCGGGACGATCCTTTTGACCAGCATATCCATGCTACGTGGTGTGAACAGAGAAGAATGGCCATACCTCTGCAGTGGGGCTTTTCTCCAGTCCAGGTGCCATTAGCAAGACACACCACACTGCTGGGACCAACCAGTCGGAACCCAGGGTTGCAGGTAAAATGGACTTCATGGTCCACTAAGTACTTGCTCCCAAACTTCCTGCCATCAGAAGGGGCGTCCAGAGCTGGGCAGGAAACTGTAAGAAAAAGAGAAGGGATTAGGAGCCCTCCCCTGGGCTGCAGCCATGGCGGTGTAGATGTCACTCACAAGAACCCCCACCTCTCCCTCTCCCTCTCCCTCTCTCTCCCCCTCTCTCTCTCCCTCTCTTCCTCTCCCTCCTTTCCTCCCTCTCTCTCTCTGCCCCCCTCCGTCTCTCTTTCTCTCTTGCTCTCTGTTGAATGACTGCTGGGCATGGTTCTGGACCTTCTAAATGCCACATCTCATGAAGCGTTCCCAATGTTCTTGGAGAGGAGGAGGGGAACACAGTTGACCTAGTGAAAGCTGAGAAAACCGATGCTGAGATACCGAGGGTTGTGTGTGCAGGGCCCCACAGTACAGCGCCGAGTATCAAATCGATGAGACCAACATTTACTGCCTCTGCTTTCTCTTGTCTCCAGCCTGCTGCGTGCCCCAGGTCTCCTGAGCAGGCTCAGCCTACCACCAGGCCAGCTCTTGCTCTTCAGGTCTCTATTCAATTGTCACCACTTCCCAGAGGATCTCTGGCTACCAGGCATCTCTGTCTCAGTCCACGTTGCCTTCCTCTTAGCATTTGTGACTACTGCATGTCTTCATGCTTGCTGTCAGTGTTCTCTGCCCGCGTGCAATCTGGCCTGTGTTCTTTCTGCTAGTCCCAGCCCCAGCCAAGTGCTTGGCACACAGAGTATGTTCTAGAAATGGGCCTTAAAGGAAACATGATTTATTGTTGAAAGCCTTCCTCTGGAAATGTTACTTCACACAACAAAGAAGCCCCTAAGGAAATAAAGTCACCAGGACCAATGGTGTTGGGTATCCCACAGTCTCCATCTCCTATCTGATTGACAGATATCACCAGGAAAACATGACTCAGGGTTAGAGCTCTGCCATCAGTGGAGGGAAATTGGGATGTCCCATTGTGCCCCAGACAAGTGGGACTTATCTTGGAAGCCCCTCTTCCCACCCCAGTTGGGTGGAATCACTGGAGAATGTACTTTCAGGCATGAAAAGCTAGAGCCATGCCTGCTCATGGAAAATGACACAGGCTGTAAGTGCAGCATTCTGGGCAGGTCAGGGTAGAAGTGTGCTGTGCAGAGGGGGAATGTGGGAAGTATCTGGGCCTTCCAGGCTGTGAACTTAAAAACAGTTTCAAAAACATACTGTTATACTTAAAGTAAAAACAAGAACAAAAACAAAATCAGAGTTGACTGTTCTCTCCAAGGAGGTGAAACGCACCTATACTTGCAGAGTGATGTTTATGACAATTCTGTGGGATTATAGGTTGCTACCTATGTAGCTATTAAGCCTAGAATAAAAAGTTTAAGAGGAAATGGTCTGGGTGTGGTGACAAACCATAGCTCTTGGGAGGCAGAGGTGGGAGGATTTTGAGTTCCAGGTCAGCCTGAACTATATATTGAGACTCCATCTTAAAAAAAAAAAGAAGAAACACAGGCCTGGAGCTGAAAACCATAATCCCAGCACTTGGAAGGCAGAAGCAGAAGGATCAGGAGTTTAAGATTATCCTGGTTACATGGCAAGTTTGAGGTCAACGTGAGCTACATAAGATAAAAACAAAACAAGGAGGCTGCAGAGGTGAGCCATTGGTTAAGAGGGCTTGCTGCTCTTGCAGAGAACCAGGGAGGGATCCAGTGCCCTTTTCCGGCCTCCACGGCACACACAAATAAATCATTTTATAAAACCTGGAAAAAGGTGTCTATCAAACATAGGGGACAGGAGTAACCTTAATGTGTACAACACACACACACACACACACACACACACACACACACACACACACACGGCTAACTGGCTGGAGAGAGCTCTCGGGTGCAGTTCTTGGCCCCAGCCTGATGATTTGGGACACACCTGGACGTACATCCGCGGCCACTTTGCTAACGGTGTTTTGCAGCGCAGCCAACCGGCTCTTCATGTTTCGAATGCCTTCAGCGAAGCGGGTCTCCTGGCCCTTCAGCAGCTGCTGCAACTGGCGGATGGTGGTCAGGAGTTGCTGTCTATTGAGACAACTCTGGGGAGAGAAGAGACTGTTGGAGCAGGCTTCATCTTGCCATTGTGCTCTGGGCTTCAGAAGTCTAAACCACGAACTTCAAGCTCCTCGGTGCCTTGTAAAACACCTTGGTGGAGCAGCCTCTCCAAGGCACCCCTCCCTGCTAGGTACTCTACCTCATCTGTTCTCAACCTATGGGTGGAGACCATCAGCAAATCAGATACATATGATTCATAACAGCAAAATTACAGCTATGAAGTAGCAAGGAAAATAATTTTATGGTTGTGGTCACTGCAACATGAGGAACTGTACTGAAGGGTCGCAGCATCAAGAAGGTTGAGAACCACTGCTCTATCTGAACAACAGCATCTGCTGGGTTAGGTTGCTAGATAGCAGCCCAAGTACACGTATCATACATAGCCCCACGACACCCCTTGACATAACAAAACAAGGGCAGAATTGGTGACTAAATGACTAGGTGCTTAAGCAACCATTTGAACCCAAAGTTCCTTATAATCACTAGCCTGTCACACCAAAAGACACACAAATTCCCCCCTACTCTAAGCTTAAGAGTGAATTCCAGGCTGGGTGAAACTTTCCTTTCTTTTTCCATTGGACACTTAGAAAAACAAGAGAACAGTGGAACACACAGAGCAGTCAGGGAGGCCTGGTGGTTCCTAGGCTTTTAAAAATATAATGAGGAAAATGAGGGAAAAATAGAATAAAGTGTTCAATACAGTCAATGTCCACTTTTGATGATTTTTAATAGCTTTTTTTTTTTAAAAAAAAAGAGAAATGGTATTGTACTTAATGTGGACAAACACTATTTGACTTAAAGCAGCTTAAACATCATACTGGATGTGTTTCCTTGCAGTCTCTATTACATTTGAGAATCAGGGCATTAGGGCCGGAGAGATGGCTCAGAGGTTAAAAGTGCTTCCTGCTCTTGCAGAGAACCCAAGTTTAGTTTCTAACACACACAGGAGCAGCTTGCAACTGCGTGTAAGCTCGTCTCTGATGCCCTCTTCTGGATTCTGCGGCCATCTGCGAGTACACGTTCACATACTGCTGCCCCCGAACCAAACACACACACCCTCACACACATATTCCCATAGTTGAAATAGAAGAACTCTTAAGAAGAAAAGAGCCGTGGGTGGGGGCAACAAAGGGAAGGGAGGACCTTAGCCTTGGCCAGTTGATTCTGGACTAAGGTCATTCTCATTCGTCTGGGAACTGTGTGTCTGACCTGGCTGGTATTACTTGCCGTGATGATGTATCTTCAGGGATATGAAGCACCGTTTATTTTGGGCTTTTTCACTGAGTATCAGTTGTGTGTATTGTAGTGTGTGTATGGTTCGTGTGTGTGTCCACGTGCATGCAAGTGGACAGACGCAGAAGCCAGAGGCTGATCTTCCTCGATTGCTCTCTCGCTGACCCCGGGCTCACTGGTTCCAGGAGACCAGCAAGCGTCAGGTTTCTTCTGCCTCTGCCTACTCAGCTTTGAGACGACAGGCTCACCAGCCTCCGCCATGGCTGCTGCGGATCTGAACACAAGGTCTCATCCATCTCCCCAGCCCCATCTATAAGTTTTATAACTAGAGGAAATACGTGCAAGCCGGTGGGGCGCTGGGCAGCTGAGGTATGTGCCTCCACAGCCTGGGCAGTATCCAGCCTCTCAGCGGGGCCGCTGAGGCCACAACGGGCCACTCTCCTGGAGAGACTGCCAGACCGCAGCACCTTGGAGTTTTCATCAAACACATGACTCATGGGCTAGATTCAATGGCTGCTTTTGACAAAATTGAGTTCCTTGGGGCCCCTGGAACTCGTTAACCCACAGGGGCTCCTTGGCCTCCACCGTAACCTGGACCCGATGAAGCATAGCCGGAAAGGTAGCTGCCGGAAAGAGAAGTTGCTTTTCCACTCCCCCCACTGACGGCCATCCTTCCACACAAGTCCCGGGCACCTGGGCGATGACCAGTTCTTACCTGCCTGGCACTGCACGGCCAACTCGCCCAGGCCTGAGCTTCCACACCTATCTCCTGTGCTAAAAAGAAAACGGATGTCTTTGCGGCTTGGGTCGAGTCCATGTGGGATGCGCTTCTGCCTATAAGACGTGCTTCCCTTCCTCAGAGGCTGCTTCGCAGCTGGCTGGGGCCCACGTGTGGAGAAGCAGCCTCTACTTGCGGTTATTATTATTAGGCTCATGTTAGCCCCCATGTCACACAGAGGCTGAAAGTCAAGTGATTTGACCCAAATCACGTAACCTGGGAGTGGTACAGTCCGGGCCCTGTGATTTCCAACCTGCCCCAAGGACTCATTTGTTCTCACATAACACTGTGTGGTGGGGTCTTTACGGGAATTAACAGCCCTAGAGTGAACTTTTAACTCTTGTGCAAGTTGGAGATTTGACAATGGGGACAGGAAGTAGTAGCACGGGGAGGATCCTCTGCTCACACAGATGTCAGTCAGGTCATGATATGTGGGAGGGGGCCCGCTGAGCCCGGGTATGTGTAAGGGCTCGGTGCTGAAGGGAAGAGTTCTCAACGCCAAAGGGCAAACCCATGGGCACCTGGAGTGGGGCCCCAGGAGGAGAGCACACATGTGTCGGGGTAAAGGGCCTGTTATCCTGTGACCACCGGGTAGGCACATTTCTCTAGCCTCAGAGCTTCCCCTGGGGACAACTCCCTCCAACTGTCACTGGGCTGAGACCTTGCAGTGCCGACACACATGAAGAGGGAGCCAGCTGGAAGGCTGGGGATGACTCAATGTGGAAGTCGGGAAGGCTCTCTCTGACCCACCCCTGTCTGACCTGTCTCGGGTAATGCAAGGAAGATCTCGGGTGCTCTCGGCAAGCTGTCCTGCCAGATGAGAGGCACGGACCCAGGGAATGAGTGCCTTGCACAGGGTGTCTGAGGGTCCTTACTGCCACTAACCAGGCAAGTCTCTGATCCCAAAATGTTAGACCACACCCACCTGAGAATGGGGTAATGGGCCTGGGACCTCTGCTCAGCCAGAGCAAGAGATCAGAGGCATGAGTTTTGGGGACAAGTAGGTCATGGAGGAAGATAAAGGGCCCAAATGGTCCCTGCTTTCAGACTGAGACAGTACTCATCATTGTCACTAGTTCAGGGAAAGCATCCACCTTGAAAAGAAAACTGAAACACAAAAGTAATCCAAACAAAGAGACACCAATGTTAACTTCCTGCTCCGTGTTACTTTCTTAGTCGGACCAAACACATACGTCCACAGTATCATCTGGACAGGCCAGGTCACCGCACGGCTGTCTTGTGTTGGATACAAGGCTACTTGTCTTGTGTTGGATACAAGGCTACTTTTACATCCGTGGGCACAGCATGTCTACCTCTGGGTCTCAACTTGACTTCCATTCCTCTGTGTACTCTTTCGGTCTGTGGGGGCTCCTTTTCCCCACTCCTCTGTCCACTGTGCTCTCCCACCGGCTACCATCGCCCGCTAGAGCACAAGCTCCTGAGGCTTGGGGACAAACCATTTCCTATTTCTCAAACACAGCCTTTGTTGGGGTCACCTGAGGAACTGCAGAGAGTAAGAGGCAAGCCTGCTTGGCAGCTAAAGGCTGACAGGGCCAGTTCTTCTCATTAGAAGACTCAGTCCCTAGGCTTCCCACAGCCTTCTGCCACAGACCTCCCATCCTAGAGGGAAAATTCAACCCCAGTGAGGGGCACAGCAGGCTGCACCCCCGGGAAGGACAAAGGGACCCACTCTGTCTGGGCCCTCAGTCTCACAGGACCCTCAGCACCTTGTTTTTCTGTTTTTGAACTTTTGCTTGATGAGACTGGCCTCCATTGATGCGAGCATCTGTCCCTAGCTGTCAGGCTGGAAGGACAGGGCAGTGGTACAGCTCTAACCTAGCATGCTCAAGGTCATTGGTTCAATAACCACAGAAACAAAAGTGAAAATCAAAACACAGCAACAAACAAACAAACAAACAAACAAAAAACCCAGGATCCACACCAGTGCCACTGACAAGAACCTGTGGAAAAATAGTGTCTTAACTTTTTAATAACATTTAAGGTGGAACCAAGATGGTCAGGGAAATTCTTCCATTTCTGAGGGAATACAAAGATTGGAGTTTAACAGCCCTAGCTGTCCTGGAACTCACTCTGTAGATAAGGCTGACCATGAAATTACAAAGATCCCCGACTCTGCCTCTTGATTACTGGGATTAAAGGTGTGTGCCACCATGCCAGGGTTAGGGTTTCTCATTGTTGTTTCTCTGTTCTTGAAAGGGACAGAACTTCACTCAAACCCAGACTCAGAGCTGACAGATATGAAGCCTTCAGTGAGAAGCAGGGTCACCCCATCCGCTCTTCCCAGGCATAGATGGTTCTAGAACTTGATGCCAGTGCTGAGAGCTAAGCAGAGGAGCCAGGAGGGTCTAGAGAGTGATGAAAATGCTCTATCTGGGGCCTTGAGGGACTCTGTAGATAGAATGCTTGCCCAGCACTTAGGTAAAAGGCTGGGCATGGTGCACACATGTCTACCCCAGGGCTGTGGAAGTGGATGACAGGAGCGTCACCAGGGCGGACCTCAACCCTGCTCCAGGTTCACTGAGTCTGTCTCAAGAGAGGATGGTATAGAGCGATGGAGCAGGGTGCCTGATGTCCTCTTCTGGCTTTTAGGAGCAAGTGTACACACACAGACACAGACACAGACACAGACATACACACACACACAGACACAGACACACACACACACAGACACAGACATACACACACACAGACACACACACACACAGACACACACAGACACAGACATACACACACACAGACACACACACACACAGACACACACACAGACACAGACATACACACAGACACAGACACAGACACACACACACACAGACACAGACATACACACACACAGACACACACACACACAGACACACACACACACAGACACAGACACACACACACACAGACACAGACATACACACACACACAGACACAGACACACACACACACACAGACACAGACATACACACA